ATTTCTTTTCTAAACTTTTGGGCTACTGTAAAGTACCTCTGAGAAATGGGAGCAGGTCAAATAATCATAAAGATTTACTGGGCTACTAAAAAGTACCCCCTGCTCTAGTTTTTTGTTAAGGTGTTAATTATTTATTCTGCCTTACTTTGGGCTACCTAAAGGCACCCTAATTGAGACAACCAATATAATATCTTTTTTCCAAAAAGCGTGTAGAATGTATAACATAACAGATCAATAGGTCAAATAATCATAAAGATTTACTGGGCTACTAAAAAGTACCCACTGTCTAGTTTTTGTTAAGGTGTTAATTATTTATTCTGCCTTACTTTGGGCTACCTAAAGGCACCCTAATTGAGACAACCAATATAATATCTTTTTTCCAAAAAGCGTGTAGAATGTATAACATAACAGATCAATAGGTCAAATAATCATAAAGATTTACTGGGCTACTAAAAAGTACCCACTGTCTAGTTTTTGTTAAGGCGTTAATAATTTATTCTGCCTTACTTTGGGCTACCTAAAGGCACCCTAATTGAGACAACCAATATAATATCTTTTTTCCAAAAAGCGTTTAGAATGTATAACATAACCTATAAATACCTTGGTCACTTTGTTCCAAATCCTCCCTTAACTTTGCCAACTTCTGTTGTAACTTTTCATATTTACGCCTCTTCCGGGATACACTATCCTTCTCTGATAACTTTTTGGCATTTGTAACACTTTTTATAACAATATTTGGAAAACACTTGTGATCAACACCGCACAGAAAAAAACAGTGATTCGCGCCTAGTCACCTGTCAAGAAGCTGGATATCTTCTTTTTTCTTCTTCTTCTTTAAACTGTGGTCAACCTCCAGAAAATACCACTACCATTAGTACAAATGTTCGAAATGTAATGTGATGGACAATCTACAATTTATGTAGAAATTCATTTTATGTAACAATAAAACACTGAAAACTTTGTTTTCTAACTTCCACAAAATTTATTTTAAATCTTATCACTACAGCTGTTTCGGCTGATAGCCTTTCTCAAGTGATCTATTTTTGGCTTGGGTTTACAAATTTATAGTCTCTAATGAAATAGGTTGAGGAGGAGAGAACTGTTTGTCTCAAGTTGATCATTCAGAATTATATATGTGTTTTTTAATTTGTTGATTTCCATAGATTCTAACAAAGATAGCTTAAGGCCCTTATTTTGAATGTGAAGAATTTTAAATTTGTCATTAAAAGAATGATTATGATCTAGAAGGTGAAGTGCGTATGTCGAATCTGTTTTTCTATTCTTGAATAGAAACTATTTATGTTCTGCTATTCGTTTATCAAAGTTTCTACCAGTTTGACCGATGTAAGTTTTTGGACAGTCGTCACATTGAAGTTTGTACACACCACTATTTAAGTGTTTTTTATTTTGGCTCTTGTTATTTTTAATATATTTGCCTAGGTTGTTATTTGTTCGGAAAGTTGGTGTTATTCCTTTCTTTTTTATGTGTTTGGCAATTTTTGTTGTTATTTTGCCTGTATATGTAATTTCAGGGCTTTCTTGTGTAGTTTTTGATTTAACATTTTATTAATTGTTTGGTTATTGTATCCGTTGTTTACTGCTATTTGCTTAATTATATTTAATTCTGTCTCAAATTTGTCTTTGACATCGGAATTTCTGTTAATCTATGTAACATATTATGATAAGCAAGCAGCCAGTTTATGTTGTGTTGGATGGGATGATGAATTGTGTATAGTCGTGTCAGTATGGGTAGGTTTATGAAATATGGAGAAGTCATGTTTGTTTTGAAGTCTGCTAATTTTTAAATCTAAAAAATTTATGAATTGGTTTGGTTCTGTTTCTATTGTAAATTCAATATGACTATGAAGTGAATTAGTATACGATAAAAATTGGTCGAGTTGGCTGTTAGTTCCTGTGAAACATACCAGTACGTCGTCTACGTATCTCCACCAATATCAAAACTGTTTGAATACGGGATGTTTTAAAATCTTTGTCTCTAGATGATCCTTAAAAATATCTGATAGCAATGGGCTGAGAGGCTTAATTAGGAATATATTAATTCTCACATTAGAATCTAGGATGTCAAATTCTATATTATTTAATCTATAATTTAATTCTGAATGACATACCTTAAGATAATATAGATAAAATATTAGATAAAAAATTCAATACACAGTGTAAAAAACTAAATAATCTAATTTCCAATAGTAAAAAACCCAATATTTATTATACAAAAAGGTTTTCGAACCATACTTTTTTCAATAGATTTATAAATTTAACAGATACTAAATTTAGTAACAGCGAGATACAACTTTTAGAGAAAGGATTTAAACACAACTTGCCCCAACATAATAATGAGAGAACTTTAGAATATTTAGGTGTAGAATGTGAAGTAGCGTTAAACAAAACTGCTAACATTATCGAAAAAAGTTTAATTGCCACATCTATTACAGATGTGTGTAGTGAAACTAAGAATCCATGTTACAAACAGAATAAAACAGCAATTTCCATTAAAAATAAATCAATAGAAAACAACATTGTGTTTACAAAAGCAGACAAAGGTAACACTACTATTGCTATAGATAAAATAGAATATAATAACAAAACAATAGAATTCTTAAATAATCAAAATATTGAAACTTTACACAAAGATCCGACAGAAAAATATCAAAAACAAATTAAGCTAGCTTTAGAAAATTCAAAAGCAATACTAAATCCAATAGAACAGAAATACATCAATATAATGAACCCACAGCCTCCTAAATTATACTCTTTCATTAAACTACACAAACCGGATCACCCAATAAGACCTGTAGTTTCTTCTTATACAGCTCCGTCATATAAACTTTCAAAAAAACTGTTAGAGATTATTTTAGAACACACTAAATTTTCATCTAAATTTACCATAAAAAATACAATAGAACTAGTTAATAAAATACAACATTTTCAATTACCTAACAACTCCAGATTAATTTTATTTGACGTAAAAAATCTTTTTCCTAGTATCCCTGCTACAGAAACTTTTATTCTAGTAAAAAACCTTTTAGACCAAAATAGTACAAACCCAATAATTACATCTGAAATCTTACATCTTCTTGAAGTTTGCATAAACCAGGACTACTTTGAATTTAATAATAAAATATATACAAATAACAGTGCAGGACTTATAATGATTAATCCTCTAAGCCCATTGCTATCAGATATGTTTATGGATCATCTAGAGACAACGATTTCAAAACATCCCGTATTCAAACAGTTTTTATATTGGTGGAGATACGTAGACGACGTACTGGTATGTTTCACAGGAACTAACAGACAACTCGACCAATTTTTATCGTATATTAATTCACTTCATAGTCATATTGAATTTACAATAGAAACAGAACAAAATCAATGCATAAATTTTTTAGATTTAAAAATTAGCAGACTTCAAAACAAACATGACTTCTCCATATTTCATAAACCTACCCATACTGACACGACTATACACAATTCATCATCCCATCCAACACAACATAAACTGGCTGCTTATCATAGTATGTTACATAGATTAACAGAAATTCCGATGTCAAAAGACAACTTTGAGACAGAATTAAATATAATTAAGCAAATAACAGTAAACAACGGATACAACGAACAAACAATTAATAAAATGTTAAATCAAAAACTACACAAGAAAGCCCTGAAATTAGTATTTCCACCACCAGAGAAAAACCCAGTACCTTCTGCTCGATTACATATACAGGCAAAATAACAACAAAAATTGCCAAACACATAAAAAGAAAGGAATAACACCAGCTTTCCGAACAAATAACAACCTAGGCAAATATATTAAAAATAACAAGAGCCAAAATAAAAAAACACTTAAATAGTGGTGTGTACAAACTTCAATGTGGCGACTGCCCAAAAACTTACATCGGTCAAACTGGTAGAAACTTTGATAAACGAATAGCAGAACATAAAAGGGCTTTCAAGAATAGAAAAACAGATTCGACATACGCAATTCACCTTCTAGATCATAATCATTCTTTTAATGACAAATTTAAAATTTTTCACATTCAAAATAAAGGCCTTAAGCTATCTTTGTTAGAATCTATGGAAATCAACAAATTAAAAAACACAGATATAATTCTGAATGACCAACTTGAGACAAACAGTTCTCCCCCTCCTCAACCTATTTCATTAGAGACTATAAATTTGTAAACCCAAGCCAAAAATAGATCACTTGAGAAAGGCTATCAGCCGAAACAGCTGTAGTGATAAGATTTAAAATAAATTTTGTGGAAGTTTGAACACAAAGTTTTCAGTGTTTTATTGTTACAGTAATATCTTATGTTTTATTGAAGTCTGTAGTCACTCTGCTGCTACGTTGAGTTAAATTATCATGCATGAAAATTAAATTTTCTCCTATTGCACCTCACTAGAGTCTCACTATATAATAGGTTCTAGAACAAAATTAAGAGACCTGCTAGCTGCTAAAGTTAGTTCAATGGAAATTAAAAAAGTTTTTTCACCGGTCATAATACCTCCCAGAACATGATCATCATCATTATGTTCTGTTTACTGCTGGACATAGGTCTCTCCCATTTTTCGCCACTCTTCACGGTTCTGTGCTTTGTGTTGCCATTTCTTAAATATTAGTCTAATGTCGTCCATTCAGCGTGTTGGTGGTCGTTCTCTGCTGCGATTGTCTTCTCATTAGCGCCAGTAAATTAGTTTTCTGGTTCATCTTGTGTCTTTCAGTCTCGCTATGTGACCTGCCCAATTCCATTTCAGCTTGGCTATACGTTTAACGACATCACTGATACCTGTTCTCTTCCTTAAGTCTTGATTCCTTATTTTGTCTATTTTTGTTACGCCGAGAATTGATCTTTCCATGCGCTTTTGTCCCACTCGCATTTTTAGTGCTGTTGCTTTTGTGAACGTGAAAGTTTCTGCTCCGTATGTCATAATAAGAAGATAATTCACAGTGTTTATTAATAATTTAAAAGTTAAAAATAATGTCTTCTGATACAGAAAGTGTCAGTAATCCTTTTGAAGGCACCCATACATCCAATGACGAAGATTATGTGCCAATTGAAAATAAACATAACCACAAAATTCAATCCCTTACAAACTTTACTGCATCCGATGATTCCTTAGCTCTGATGGAGAAAATAAAGAACCTGAAGCAATCCCTAATACATCAGATGTTCCTGAAATGTCTCATAATACGACACAAAAAGGAAAAAAGCGACTTTTACGTACAGCACCAAGGAACAGAAACATACGAAAAAATAAACGAGTTTAAGGGTGAGCCTTATTTGACCATTGCTGGTGTATATAAACCCGGAAAACATATTGGTACTAACTGCAACTGTAAGCTGAAGTGTTTTGAAGAAATTGGGCATGAAAACTGTACTAAAATATTTCGCGATTTTTGTGCCATGGGAACAAAAGATCTCCAAAATGCTTATTTATATGGAAATATTGACAACTGAGAAGTTAAACGAGTAAGACCACGTTCTGGCCAAGGAATGAAAAAGAAGTCATCATTTACTTACAAGGTAATATTACTGGTTGAAATATGAAATATAAATTGTTTGAGCATAAGCTTTTACCAAGTATTTAAAAGATTTTATTGTTCCTGGTTCGCTCTGCGATGGGGCGACACGGAAAATTTGCAAAAAGGCATTTCTTTCATTACATGGTAATTCGAAAGCAAGACTTGAACGTTTATGGGATAATGAGCAATATGGGAAATGGAACTCCTACTGTGGATGGCAGAGGAAAACACGTACTAAGACATAATAAACTACCCGTCGGCACTGATGATAAGATACGTCAGCATATACTTAGTTACCTAAGATACAAATCGCATTATAGTTTGAAAGATAACTTGTTGCAGTACTATTACCTCTCGCCTCTTTTAAATATTGCAAAAATGCATCACATGTACTTAGAACAATACGAACCTGAACAGTTACTTCTACAAAATGAAAATATGAAACCGATTGTAAAGTATGAATATTATAGAAAATTCTTTACAAAAAACTTTAAAATATCCTTTGGTAAACCAAAGTCAGATACTTGTCAGAAGTGTGATAAGTTACAAAATCAAATTAATGCCGCCGATAATGATGACCAAAAAAGAGCATTGGAAACAGAGAAAAAACTACATATTACAAAATATGAAACTTTTTATCAAGACATAAAAGAAAAAACAGATTTAGGTAAGAATGATTCACAAGTAGAGGTTTTAACGTTCGATTTTCAGCAAAATTTGCCACTTTCAGTGTCCTTGAGTAGTAAAGTTTTCTACAAAATTCATCTTTGAGTATACAATTTTTGTATTCATGTGGGAAGTACTAAAAAAAGTTATTTTTATTATTATGATGAAACGATAGCTGCAAAAGAACAAAACGATGTAGCTAGTATACTACATAATTTTTTAAATTATCATATTAATCAAGACGTAACCACTATTTACATATTTTCTGATAACTGTTCATCCCAAAACACAAATTTTGTACTGGTACAGTTTTTTTTATACCATTTTGGCAACTACTAAGAAGCTTAGACTGATAGTGCACAGATACCCTGAACCCGGACATAATTTCCTTCCCTGTGACAGAAGCTTTGGAGCAATAGAAAGACAAAAACGGAAACATGACAAGATATATTTACCTCAAGAATACTCAAAAATTATTGAAAATAGTAACCAAAAGTTTCAAGGTATTAATGTGACTCAAGATATGTTTCTAAACTTTAAGACCCATTTTCAACAATTTTTTGTGAAAAATCCTTCACGGAAGAACAACCAATTTACCATCTTAAAATATCGAGTTATGCGATATGAAAAATTAGATAGTTAAATGACGTTTAAATGTAGAGAAACCGTCAACTTTACTGTATTCAATACTTTTGAAATAAGAGATAAGAGGAACTTGCATCCCATGACCTTACCAAACCATGACCATAAGTTGTACACTAAAATGAGAAAGCTAAAAAAGAACAAATTCGAGCATGTTATGTCTTTGGCAACAAATTATGTGCCACAGTGTGATCAATAGTTTTATGAAGTAATCCGAAATTACCATCATAACGTCTCACCAGAAAATAACGAAACTTCGGTATCAGAATTCAGTGACAGTGAGTAAAGAAAAATATATCAACTCTGCACTAACATTTAGTTGAAACTATGTTCTTGTTTATTTAATTGAATAAATTGCTAGAAAATAATTTGTTGAATATAAAATTCTATTTTATTTTATTTTTTTCCATTAAAAAATACGAATACTTTGCATAAACCAGTCAAGTCCAATTATTTTTCACCCATAACTTTTTTGTTTTTTAACTTACAACTTATTATTTAAAAAATAGTGTTAACAAGATGATCTTTAAATGTTAGAAAATACAAAATTATCAGGATTTCATAGTTTTCGCTCAAAATGTTTTTTACTTCTCCTGAACAGTTTGCTTTATTTCGCTTGACCGGTTTATGCATTGGACCCTTCAATTACTGATTATACCAGTCCTGTTCCATTTGTTATGATATATTTTTTGGTACTTTCAAGTAATCTATAAATTTTGATCAGAATTTATCCATAAGACTTAATCCTGATCGATTTTCTTTGAGGTTTTTTATTAAAGAATTAATACATTGCGTACATGTTTTTTCCTTTAAATATTTTATTAGCTTATTTCCTATTTTATTCCTTCGCTATCTTCGTGTTAGAGATGTCTTCATATACCTTATAGTTTCTAGTTTTTTATTGGAATTTTTAAAACGTTAATATCCCTAAAGCTGGCATCAATTTTACTAGGTATTTAAAGAATATTATCCTCATAGTCTTTACATGGACAACAATCACTTGGACAAAACCCATTTATACGTGATGTTGTAAAATGAAACCTGTTTAAAGAGACTATAAAACAAAAATAATTATTACCCAAATGCATATTTTATATTGTTCTGAAGCTATTTTCTTGTGGCATTGTAAATTAATTACTATTTATAACTGGAAATAAGCCACAATTAAAGATAAAAATACGTTTATTGACGTTTCAATTTCCAATTCGGAAATCGTTCTCAAAATACAAACAGTAAATTAAACAAATTTTGTTTTTTGTTACATAGTGAAAAAATTGTTCTAATAATTTAATTTTATCTGACTCATTTATATTGACAATTCAGACATACATTATGCATTTTAAAGTAGACGACTTTAAAATGATATTGTCAATATTGTTGAGTTGCGCTCCTGGGACGACTTTACTTATAAGATAGTTCATTCGATTACATGAAATCAACTTTAACTTTAGAATATCCGTCAGAAAACGGAAATATCCAACCCACGAAAAGGAAGAATACAGAGTGTTATGTAAACTTGAATTGAAAAAATCTACCAAAATTGAACAAAACATAAGCAAAGAGGAACTAAAGGCTATAAGAACTTTAAAAAATGACGACTCCATAATCATCCTACCAGCAGACAAGGGGAATGCAACTGTAATAATGGATAAAATTCAATACGAAAATAAAATTAAAGATCTATTAATAAACGGACCTTATACAAAATTAACAAAAGATCCAACAAAGCCTTTGGAAAACAAAATATATAGAACTTTATTCAAGTTTAAAGATGTTTTAACAAGTTATCAGAGAGGATTAATTACACCTCATTACAGTAAGACTCCTCATTTTTATGGAGTACCGAAAATTCATAAAACAAATATACCACTTAGACCCATTTGTAGTACCATGAATTCTCCTTGTAGTGAACTATCAAAATTTTTAATAAATATTTTAAAACCTTATACAAATAAAAATGACGCATTCATAAAAAATACACAACATTTTTTAAATAAATTATCAAATATTGAATTTAATTCAAATAATACTTTGGTAAGTTTTGACATAAATAGTTTATTTACGAATGTGCCATTAAATAAGACTTTAAGTATAGTCAAGACAAAATTAGAGAATGATGATTCATTGGCAACTAGAACAAGACTAAACATATCGGCTATAATGGAGTTATTAACATTATGTACTGATAATACATATTTTCAACTAAATAATGAATTCTATAAACAAAATTTTGGTCTAGCAATGGGCTCTAGTTTATCTCCATTCTTAGCCGATATATTTATGGAAAATTTTGAAACAAATATTATTTCTAAACAAAATTTCAAACCCATAGTATGGTGGAGGTATGTAGATGATGTATTCTCAATATGGCCTCATGGATCAGAGTTGTTGGAAACATTCCTAAACGATATAAACGATAAAGAAGAGACAATAACATTTACCATGGAAAAGGAATATAATAACACGCTACCTTTCCTGGATGTTTTAATCTCTAAGAACGATACTGGATATGAGACTCAGGTGTATAGAAAACCAACACACACCAATAGATATTTAAATTTCAAATCAAATCACAATATTAATGTAAAAAAGGGAATAATTAAATCCTTATACGATAGAGCCAAAATTACTTGTTCTAACGAAAATTCGTTCTTGGAGGAGAAAACATTTGTTAACATCTGTTTTATTAAAAAATGATTATCCTTTATCGTTTATAAATAAGGAATTTTCAACAATCGATCGAATAGAACAGAACAACTTAGAACGAGATCCTACAGCATACACAAGGAATAATATGAGGAAAATAACAATACCGTACATAAAAGGATTATCAGAAAAACTTAAAAGGATAGGAAATAAATTCAACATTTCAACAACATTCAAAACAACAAACACGTTGAGATCTATTTTGTCCAAAACCAAACCTAACAATGAACAAGAAAGGACAAAGAATTGCATTTATAAAATACCTTGTGAATGCGATCAGTTTTATTTAGGTGAATCATCAAGGCCATTAAATGTTAGAATAAGTGAACATCAATCTTATATTAAAAATAGAGAATTTGATAGATCTCAAATATGTAAACACGCATGGGATAATGAACATAGGGTTCAATGGAATAATTCAAATATAGTCCTAAAAGAAACGGATGGCAAAAAAAGAAAAATCAAAGAAGCGGCTCTAATTATGCTAAATGAGGCCAATTGTGTCGCAAATTCCTCGGCAGAATGTAGTAGGATCTGGTTACCAATATTGAAAGAGGAAGTTATTAATAAGAAAATACCAGTATTAGTAAGTCAGTAACATATAGCGGATACATCATTTATGTTTTTTAAATAACGTAACATATAAAATCAGAATTTTGATGTTTGTTGAAGGTAAACTAAATTCACGAACAAATACTTACAATGTCGGGATAGTATTATGAGGTTTTTTTCCTGGTTTTTCCCTCATAATTTACTATGGAATCACTAACAGGAGAATTTTACTGTCATCATGTCATGTGTTTGTCTTTTTAAAGACGAATTACATGCTATGATTTTTTCTGACGGATATTCTCAAGTTAAAGTTGATTTCATGTAATCGAATGAACTATCTTATAAGTAAAGTCGTCCCAGGAGCGCAAC